GGTGACACACACCTTTAATCCCAGCACTCGGGAGGCAGAGGCAGGCGGATCTCTGTGAGTTCAAGACCAGCCTGGTCTACAATAGCTAGTTCCAGGAGAGTCTCCAAAGCCACAGAGAAACCCTGCCTCAAAAAAAAAAAAAAAAAAAAGTGTTCATCCATAGCAACACCCAAGCTACATTTCATCTCCCGTTACACCCAGGGTTGAGAGTAACAGCTAATGTTCGTTGAGGTTTTGCTGTGCATCATGTGTGTGTTAAATGTGCCCATTCTCCATCTCATTTAAGCCCTGCTAAGGAGGATCAGTTCTCAGCAGAAACAGCTGGGAGAATTTACCTTCAGTTCTGCCAACACACAGGTTTCTCAGTTTCCCACTCATCTTCACGCGACTAGGAGTAGAGGTGTCTCTGCCATGTCAGAGTATAAGCTACACCTTCTAACTGGCTTACCTATAAACCAGGATTTGAAGAAAGTCTCCCCACTTTTGGCAGAGTAGAAGGTGGATTAAGGAAGGCACTGTTATCAATCCAAGAAAGGGTGAAATTTAATTCTGTTCCCAAGAATTCATAAACTGCTTATAGCTTATTTAAAAGGCAGTAAAGTGAGCCCCACCAGGCACACAGGGTAGGGAGGTGAGTTCACTCCCATTTGTTCAGGCTTCTGCATAGACTTGCAAAAGGCCTGGCCTCTGAAGATCGCCCACTCTGCAGGCACAAACCTGGGCTCTCCCACCCCACGCCACCCTCAAAATTTAAAGGCAATAGCCAGCCGTCCCTGGCACATCTTCTTGAGGTGACTTGCTAACTTATCTGTAAGAGAAAGGAGGTCTAGCATGGTGAGGGGAGAACGACAGCCAAGGCTAGGGAGGGATATGCAGTGATTTAGAGCCTTCTACCCAAGTCCAGAAGATTCTAGGCGGACTGGCCGGAAGGCAGCCTAGTTCTCTTTTAAAAATAGAAAGGAGAGAAAAGAAAAATCCTTGTCTGATTACGACTTGGTAGAGGTACTTTGCATAGCCATTTTCAGTGTCTCCCTCCTAGAGAAAGACAGCTAGACCCAAAGGGTGTCCAGAAGCCTACGGCTGGTGGCCAACAGTCCAGCTGGCTTGCAAGCATCAGCAAAGCAAGCAAACTGCAGCTTGGAATGTTCTAGGGGCTGGAAGAGGCTGCTACAACCCTTCAATAATTAGTTCAGAGACAATTGGACATCCATATGGAAAAAATAAAATAGATGCCTATCTCACAGCAGGCCTCTAGATAAATTCCAGATGAACTGAAGGTCTACAGAGAGCAAACAGGACTATCCTGGCACAGCTAGAATAAAGCATAGGGTAGATGTAGGCTCTGGGACTAACAAATCATGTAACACACAAAGGAAAAGACGGGTGGCTATCTACATGAAGATTAAAGTGGCAAGCTGGAGCTAGAGCTCAGGGATAGTGCCCGCTATGCTCTGGGGCTGGGAGGTGAAAACAAAATTATTTATGAATTAAAAAATAAAAAACTTACTAACATTGTGTTTATAGACTTCTGCAACAGTGTACATATGAAGGTCAGGACAACTACGTGGAGTGGCTTCTCACCTCCCTTTAGTTGGGTTCTGAAGATTGAACGCTGGTCAACAGGCTATGGGGCAAGTTCTTTTCCCACTTAGCTGCTTTACCAGCCCATCAAAATCTTTTCTAGGTATAAAAACTAAGACACAGCCTGAAACAAGAAAAACAGAGGCAGGGTTTCTCTGTGTAGTCCTGGAACTCATGCTGTAGACCAGGCTGGCCTGGAATTTAGATCTACTTGCCCTCTGCCTCCCAAGTGCTGGGATTAAAGGATTTGTGCCACCACTGCCCAGCTGTTTTTTGTCTTGTTTTTTAAGACAAGGTCTTGATTTACAGCCCAAGCTGGCCTGCTTCAAAAAAATCTTTCTCCTTCAGCCAACCAAGTGCTGTGATTACAAGTGTGTACCAGGGTTGGGGATTAACTCAGTGGTAGAGTGATTGCTTAGCTAGCACAAGGCCCTGGGTTCAGTCCTTCAGTTTTCAGCTCAAAAATAAAGAAAGAAATAAAGAAGAAGAAATACAAACTTGTACCACCATGCCTGACTGTAGAATATCTTAAAATAAGAGACGATCCAAAGAGTAGGCAATACATAGAGGAAGAAACCCCAAATAGAAACAGTGGAATTCACAGGTGGTAGTAATCTTGTTAGCACGGGGCAGCCAGCCCCTGCAGTGCACTCAAAAAACTCATTTTCTTCCAAAGGAAAGAGAAAGGGAGGAGAAAGATGGAAGGTGGGTAGGGAAGTTCAATAGAGTTCACTGTGATAACTAGAAACAACAAATTACATCCAGAATCCATGGAACTGACAAAATTTATCATCTGATAGCCCTGATAGACGCAGGGACAGGAACCCGAGAACAGTGTCAGTTGGCACAGCAATCAAGGATCAAATGAGAAACACGTGTAACCGTTTCCTCCAAGATTAAAACATTCTGTCCTGCAGGAAGGTAAACAACTCAAAATAACTTCAGGAAGTCCCTGAAACTGACCAGAACCACTAGGCTCCTCCCTGCCAGAGAAAGTAATAAAAGTTGAGAGACCCACTTAGACAATGTGAAGCTGAGCTGCAAAGAAGGCTCTCAGACCAACCCGCTCCGTGGGAGAAGCAGAAACCAGGCAAGCACCCTGGAACAGATTCAGACTGAGTCACTTGCAAAGGACACTATCCAGCCTGTTGAGCTGCCCATGCAGTGTGGACTGCCAGCCATGTCAGTGTGGGCTTTGGTGATACAGTTATCTTTCAATCATTTCTGCTCCTGTAAGTGACACCAATAAAATTCATTGGTTCAGCCAGCCATTGGTGGTGCATGCCTTTAGTCCCAACACTCAGGAGGCAGAGGCAGGCGGATCTCTGTGAGTTTGAGACCAGCCTGGTCTACAAGAGCGAGTTCCAGGACAGCTTCTAAAGCCACAGAGAAACTCTGTCTCCAAAAACCAAAAAGAAAGAAAGAAAGAAAGAAAGAAGAATGGAACAAAAACAAGGTGTGTGTGTGTGTGTGTGTGTGTGTGTGTGTGTGTGTGTGTGTGTGCAGAATATTATTCAACTTTTTTTTTTCCGAGACAGGGTTTCTCTGTATTGTTTTGGAGCCTATCCTGCAACTATCTCTGTAGACCAGGTTGGCCTGGAACTCATAGAGATCCACCTGCCCCTGCCTCCTGAGTGCTGGGATTAAAGGTATTCAACTTTTTTTTTTCCGAGACAGGGTTTCTCTGTATTGTTTTGGAGCCTATCCTGCAACTATCTCTGTAGACCAGGTTGGCCTGGAACTCATAGAGATCCACCTGCCCCTGCCTCCTGAGTGCTGGGATTAAAGGCATGAGCCACCAACGCCAGGCAATTCAACTTTTCTTTAATTTTTTGTTTGTTTTGTTTTTTGAGACAGGGTTTCTCTGTGTAGCCCTGGCTCTCCTGGAACTCACTCCATAGACCAGGCTGGACTTGCACTCTGAGATCTTCCTGGTTCTTCCTCCTGCATGCAGAGATTAAAGGCTCATGCCACCTCTGCCCAGCTTATATTATTCAACGTTAAAAGGCAGAGACATTCTGACATGGACACAGATGGAGGAATCCTAAAGACATTATGCAACCTGAAAGAAATGGACAGGAACAAAGGGAAAAATACTGCATGATGCCACTTAGGTACATAGAGAAGGCAATTTCCTAAGGTCGTGGTTAAGGGCTGGAGAGGAAGGGAGGAGACAATTGGGGACATCGAGTTGCAGTTTGGGAAGACAGAAAAGTTCTGGCTCTGGTAGCACAAGCCTGTAGTGTTAGTACTTGAGAAGAAACACAGCAGGAGGATTAAGAGTTCAAGGTTATTATGGGCTACAGAGTGAGGCTGAGGCTAGTCTGGGTCACATAACACCTTATCCCCACCCCCCCAATCAAAACAAAAAGTTCTGAATAAGGCCATGATCATTAAAAAATGTGAAAGACCTTCATGCCATAGAAAAGTACACTTACAAAAGGTTAAATGGCACTTTATTTTGGGTTTTGGAGTCAGGGTTTCTCTCTGTAGGTCTGGCTGTCCTGGAAATCAATTTGTAGACCAGGATGGCCTCGAACTCACAGAGATCTTCCTGCCTCTTCCTCCCCAGTGCTGGCATTAAAGATGTGTGCCACCACCACCTGGCTTTATATATTTTTGAAACAAAGTAGACCAAGCTGTCTTGGCTCTCACTATGTAGACTATACTGGCTTGCCTCTTTCCCCCCAGTGCTGGGATGAAAGGTGTGTGCCACTGCCTGGATTGACTTTTTAATTACATTATGTATTTATGTATTTATTTATTTATTTGGTGTTGGCTCACAGGCTAAAGAGCACACATACAGAGAGGTCAAAGGACAATTCAGGAATAGGTTCTTGATTCTCTCCTTCCACCATGAGGGTCCCAGGATTAAACTCAGATAGTGGCAGGCTTACCAGCAAGGGTTTCTACAACACCTGGACAGTCGGAGATGGTAATTTTCTTTATTCTATCAGACAGGGTCTCAGTACGTAGCTTCAGCTGGCCTGAAACTTACTAAATATTAGGCTGGCCTAAATAGATAGGCTGGCCTAGAGTTCACAGAGATCTACCTGCCTCTGCCTCCAAGGTACTGGGATTAAAGGTACGAGCCACCGCGCCTGGCCCTACGTGGCAAATTTTGTATTTTTTATAGTGTAACGTGAAAATAAAATAGAAATTGAAAAAAAGAAAATGTGACTTGGGCTGGATGTGTAGCTAAGTGGAACAGCAGGTGCTCCGTATGCTCAGGGGCATGGGTTCAGTTCCCCGACACTTAAGAAATAGTAGACCTAAATCTAGCCCCTCAATCTAGCACATCGAGCAGGTGTAGGTAGGTGACTCCCACACTTGGCTGCTTCTTCCTTCCCCTCCCCCACATCCAAATTGGTATCCTTGGTGCTCCAAGTGTCTCGCTGCGCACGCGCACACATACTGACATGAGGGGGCGTGGCCTCACTCTGCGCCTGTGCCGAACTCCAGCTGTGACTGCAATCAGAAAAAATGATGCCCAGGATGGGCTCTGCCGCCCGCCGCCTGCGGAGAGACCCATACTGCACACGCGCAGAGCCAGCGTCCGTGTCAAAACACCGGCTGACAGCGCGCTCCCCATGTCCTGAGCTCCCGGCTGCCAGGCGTTGCTCTCAGCGGTGACTCCCGCCGGCCCGGGACGGACAAGCTCACGTCTAACCGGCGATGCCCCGGGAGATCATCACCCTGCAGCTGGGCCAGTGCGGCAACCAGAGTGAGCAAGCGACCGCTGGGCCCCGCCAGTCTCTGGTTCTATCCCTTGGGCCGCATTCAAGTGCCTGGTACCCATCAATCCCCTATTGTCCTTCCCACAAACCACCTTTCTTACCCTATTGCGAATGGTGATCCAGGCAAGAGCTGCCTCTTCAGTCCTGGGCTGTGACAACTTTCAGGCGTCTTGAAGGGTCACCTTCTTGAATGTAATAGCCTCTGAGCCTGGGCTCTTCCGGCCTTGGGGCTCTAGCAGACTTGAGCCTCTTCCCCTCCCCCAGTTGGGTTCGAGTTCTGGAAACAGCTGTGTGCTGAGCACAGTCCAGCGTCCATATGGGGACATGATACAGGGAGCACTAGGGCCATTAAAGCTCAGCTGAGCTCTCTGGGAAATAAACATCTCAGTGCTATTAGCTGCTTTGGCATGGGTTACTCAGCTTCTGCTTGGTCTCTGAACCTTTCCAAGGAGCCTCAGAGACAAGAATGAAATCTCTCTTTGAGATCCCTGGACACTGCTTTTCTCTCTCCTGGCTCAGGGATTCGTGCTGTGTCATTCCATTGCTGGAGGGACAGGCTCTGGTCTGGGCTCCTACCTCTTAGAGAGGCTAAATGACAGGTAAGCCCGTGTTTGACAAGAGGTCATTAGCCCTGATTCCCTGGTGTGCTGGTTAATATTTTAATTACATTTTTATTTGTTTACCTTTGGGGAGGCATACCTGTCTTTGCCTATGTGCAGAGGTCAGTGTGTGGGAGGTGGTTCACCATGTGGGTCCCAGGAACTGAACTCAGGTCATTAGTGTGGTAGCAGGCACCTTTACCCTACCCACTGAGTCACCTTACCAGCCAATAGGAAGAGTTTTGATAAGGAATTATCTAGACCAAGTTGGCCTGTTAGCATGTCTGGAAGGGACTGTCTAGATTGTTAATTGATATGGGAAGACCTCACCTAGGGATTCCTGAAGCAGCGAGCAAAGAAGGATCATGCATCTGTGTTCTCTGCTCTCTTGACTGTGGACTGCCTGCCTTGACTTCCTGAAATTATGGGTTGTAATGGAACTGAAAGCCAAATGAGCCCTTTCTTTCCCAAGTAGTTTTTGCTGAGGTGTTTGTCACAGTAACAGGAACTAAAGCAGAATTCCTAGATAACCTCTTTCCATTTGAAGGTCCATGTTGTTGTCCCCCTACCCATCCACCCCAAGTCACAGGGACAGAACTATCCAGGTAAAACCTTGGAAGCAGTAACTGAGTATGGAGATGGGGAGTTACCTTGGGACCTACAGAACTGTGGCTTATCCTTTGGGTGCTGAACACTGAGGCCTGCCCTTGCTCCTTTTGCACAAGAGCTCAGTGGCACTTGGGAAGGAGTATAGTAGTTCACAGGGACACCCTCTCCTTTCTCCCTTCTTTGCTCTTAGGTACCCCAAGAAACTGGTGCAGACATACTCTGTGTTTCCCAACCAGGATGAGATGAGTGATGTGGTGGTCCAGCCCTACAACTCTCTTCTCACCCTGAAGAGGCTGACCCAGAATGCAGACTGTGTGGTGAGCAAAGGAAGACTGAGCCAGGAGCTTGGCCCACACAGAAAAGCCAACAAAATCAGGACATGTGGGCCAGATTATGGACTAGGATCCCAACTTCCAAGCTGCTTGTTGGCCTTCAGGGCAGTATGACTTTGAACAAAGAGTATTGCCCTATCTCGATAAACAACCCCGTTTTGACTTGTGCATTCCCCTATCTCAATATGCAACCCCATTTTGCCTATGCAATGTCTCCTTACACTTGAATTCAAGGGTCATGTTTGTAGCAAAACCTTATTCCCACTCTTCAGGCAAGGTCAGATCCGTTTGTGTATATTGTTAACTACATGTAGCTATTTAGAAACAGAGTCTCAGTTGGGTGTGGTGGTTTATGTCTGTAATTCCATTTTTCAGAAGGCTGAGGTAGGAGGATCACTGTTAGTTCAAGGATAGCCTGAGCTACATAGTCAAGTTCAAAGCCAGTCTGAACTAGAGTGAGACCTAGTCTCAAGAAAAGAAATGATGCAGGAACTTACTAAGTTGCTCTAGGTGGTCTCAAACTTACTATTCCTCCTGCCTCATCTTCCTTTGTAACTGGAATTTTAAGTGTGTGCTACAATGCCTTCTGTATTTATTGGTAAAAGAGACTGAACACAAGCTGTACCTCCAGCCTCATTTTAATAATTGCTTTTTCACTAAACTATAGGCCCAATGGTGGCAAAGCTTATGTCTGTTGTTCTCTATGGTCTCTTCAGAGCCAAGTCACATGGGAGACATATTTGTTTACTGTCCTGTTTTATATCATTAGTGTGTCATCATGCCCCGCAGACAGTATAATTCTTTGAAGGTAGCAAACCATTTCTGGTTTGGGAGTTTGCAGAAACTAAGCTGTATATGTATCTAACTTAAGTGTCTCTTTTTGCCTCAAAAGGTGTTACTGACTCCTTCTGTCCTGCCAGGTGGTGCTGGACAACACGGCCTTGAACCGGATCGCCACAGACCGCCTGCACATCCAGAACCCATCCTTCTCCCAGATCAACCAGCTGGTGAGTCCCACTCCTGGAATGGAAACCCTCTGCTAGAGGGTCCTCAGAGGAGGACCGTTCATCAACTCCCATAATACGGTGTCTCCCGTTCCCAGGTGTCCACCATCATGTCAGCCAGCACCACCACCCTGCGCTACCCTGGCTACATGAACAATGACCTCATCGGCCTCATCGCCTCCCTCATTCCCACCCCTCGGCTCCACTTCCTCATGACTGGCTATACCCCTCTCACCACGGACCAGTCAGTAAGAGCTCCCACAGTGTCCCAGGACCGTGGCCTTTCTCTTCTCCCCGCTGCACCGTGAGCTGCCCTTTGCAGCTCTTCTCCACCCCCCTCCCCAGCTTCTATTCTCAGGGACTGACACTGGGCCACTTCCCACTGCCTTTGGCTCCTGCAGGAGCAGTGCTGACTGGGAATCTGCTTCTGTTCATGCAAGGGCTGGGTTTGCTGAGCTGAGAGCCAAGGTCCTGACCCGTGGCAGAGACTCAGCACAGCCCTGATGGTCTAAAGACGTTCCCCAGAGACCACGGCACCTCCAAGTGATGGGGACGTAGTTGACCCCTCTCCTGTGTCTGCCCATGCATCTCCAGGTTGCTTCCTGACTGCTAACATGATCCCTGTGAACCCTCCTTCCCTCAGGTGGCCAGTGTGAGGAAGACAACCGTCTTGGATGTCATGAGGCGACTGCTACAGCCCAAGAACGTGATGGTGTCCACAGGCCGGGACCGTCAGACCAACCACTGCTACATCGCCATCCTCAACATCATCCAGGGGGAGGTGGACCCCACCCAGGTAAGGGAGGCCCCATCACCCTGTCCTCCTGCCCAGAGGGTGGAGGAGAAGCAACCACCACCCTGTCCACCTAGGTCCACAAGAGTCTGCAGAGGATCCGGGAAAGGAAGCTGGCCAACTTCATCCCCTGGGGCCCAGCCAGCATCCAGGTGGCCCTGTCAAGGAAGTCCCCCTACCTGCCCTCAGCCCACCGTGTCAGTGGGCTCATGATGGCCAACCACACCAGCATCTCCTCGGTGAGCACAGTCTCTTATTGTCTTTGTGTTACCAAGAACCAAGCCCAGGGCTTCGGGAATGGTAGGCAATGCTGCTGCCATGGAGCCACACCCCTAGCTCCTGGCCACTCTGTTCACTGTCTACCATCATGAGCCTCCCCAGTCTGTCCCTAGTCTGTGTCCTGCGCTGGGTGCCATTCTGAAGCGCTCCTTCTCTCTAGCTTTTTGAAAGTTCCTGCCAGCAGTATGACAAACTATGGAAGCGGGGTGCCTTCCTTGAGCAGTTCCGAAAGGAAGACATCTTCAAGGACAACTTTGAAGAGATGGACAGGTCCAGGGAGGTGGTGCAGGAGCTCATTGATGAGTACCATGCTGCTACACGGCCAGATTACATCTCCTGGGGCACCCAGGAGCAGTGATTACATTCTCTGCTGGCCCTGGACAAGGGCAGCCCTCCACCATGCCTGAACCCTCTGATACAATGTCATCTCTCATTTCTAGGTTCATGACCAGCCTAGGAACTACTCCTATTTCTTCCCTTTCATGCCCGTCTGTTGGTATGCTTGTTTACTTCCAATAAAATAATAAAGCAATATCAGTGATGGGTATTGCAGAACTTGATCTGTGATTAAGAGACGGGGTGAGCGCAGCTTCTCCACCAGGCACATGGCAGCAGGCTGGCCTTCACCTACACTGACTTACTCTTTAAGCCCAGGGTGTTTCCACAGGCACCCCTTGCCTCAAACCAGCCTCTTTTACTACCGGTCAGGCCCCCCTCAGGGTTCTGATCTGTTGTGTCCTCAGTACCCAAGCTGCTGTTCATAGTTGCACAATGTTGCCTTAGCCTCTGAGCCTCTGACACTCAAGGAGGAGATATAGGATTGGCCTAGGGTCAAAGGGGTTGAACTGTGCTCTGGGCAGGTCAGAAGAGCTGGGACTTCCAAGTGCCTAGGACCACTAGAGTCTACAGGAACTCAACTCTACTTAACCCAGCCTGACAGGATAAGAATTCAAGAGTAGGGCTGTGCTCATTGTGCCAGGAACCTTTTTACATCTGCTCCAGGTACCTCTCCACTTCATTCTGAAAGCATGGGGTTACCAAACATGGACCCAAATAGGGCCCAGAGGCTGAACACCAAGGTAGGACCTGGGTGGGGCCAGTTTTGATGACTCATTGCCCTCGAGTCCAGGGATGACAGGAGGCCACCCCTACCACCACTCAATGGACAACAGAGGGTGAGTAATTGCCAGCTTCCAGTACTGCCTTCTTGCTGCCCCACCCACCATCCTAGATGGCATACTGGCCAGGAGGAGGTTAAGTCCTGAAGGTCAAGGAGGGTGGAGCTCTGTGGTATTCAGACTCCCTTCAGTGCCTGGTAAAGGCCCAGTGTGTGGGCGTGGAGGGGGCATGCTGAGCCATGGAACTCCATCTTGTCCACTGACAACACTCCCACAGGAAGCGTTTGTGTAAATAAGGACTTTTTTTTCTTCTACAAATAAATTAAGAAACAAACTAGAAAACTGTCCACACATTGCAGCCCTTAAGTGTGGGTGTACCCTGTCCCTGCAGGGCCAAAAAGGGTCCATGGTTTCCTTAAATCTCAGATCACTCCCAGCTCAGTCAGGCTATAGGCAAAAGAAAAGTCGTGACCTCTTGGCAGGCTTAGTCCTGCAGCTGCCCCAGGCAGCCAGACTGTCCCTGGGGCTCTTCCAGGCCTTGGTGCTGGCTGGGAGGGGTGCTGTCTGGCAGGTCTTGGCATGGAGGAGCAGAGCTGCTGCAGGGCCTCTCCGGGGAGGGGTTGGCCAAGTAGGCATTCACCAGCTGCATGATCTCTTCCACCTAAGAGAGGGCAGCAGTCAGTGTGCAGCAGGGCCACTGGGCCCTTTTCTTTTTTCCTTTCCTCTTCCTAAGCTACCACGTAGGTTCCTGCATGCTCCAGTCCTGACAACCTGCCTCCCCTTACACCCGGGGTATCCATCATTTTCCTTTTGATCCAACACACTAAGTGCTAAGCACTCTTAGCCTTTGCACTTACAGTCCCGTCCACTTCTCTTCCTGAGAAGATACCTCCCCAGTGCTTCAGGACCGTCCATCAATTCCTGTCCAGTTACCCTTTGCAGTGTTTATCTCTTAGTCTTTAAATCCTTGTTTATCATTTGACTCCGCAAATCAAATGCAAGCTCCTTAAGCTTGCTTTTGACCATACCAAGAGTCCTGAAGTCTATAGCTGCACAAATGCCAGTTTTCTCTTCCAAACCCCCTGTTCTCACCTGGGGACTCTGCAGGAGGAGCTGGCTGTCACCCACCCTCAGTGCTAAGGTGTGGGGGCCTATTAGCTGGCAGGCGGCCACATGACCATAGCTGACACTGTGGATGGGTTCTGTCTCACCAGGCCTCGAGAGGGACATGGCCTTTGCTCCCAGACCCAAGCATAGCTTCTGTGGAGCACCTCCACCAGGCTCCTGCAAAGAGATGGGCGGGGTCAGGGCCGAAGGCGGGGCTTCTGTATCTTCATTTCTGGTAGGGGGAGATGGCTGTGATCTAGGAGCTTCCTTGACCCTTGACCCTTGATTCACAGCACAGGTGTGGAGTGGCCAGGAGCACCTGGAGGTGCGAGCCCAAATTGGAGAGTCCAGGGGTTTGAGATGGGCAGCTGGAATGAAATGACCCTGGTGGGGGAAGGACGGCCTGTGCCTCTGGGGTAAAGGTGTTGGGGCTTGGACCACCAGAGTCCCCTTCTCCCTTCTCCCCCTCACCGTGCTCAGCTCCAGAACGTCATACCGAGCAGCGCCGAACCCCGGACACTGCGCCGCCAGAGCCAGGTAGGCAGCCATGGCCTCAGCTTGGCCCATGCCCCGTAGCCTCTTCCAGCTGCCCAGTACCGCAGTCGTCCTGCTGGCGCCGCCTCCTCCCACCTGGGCAGTGCTTCCCGTCGAGCAACCGGTACAGCCGCCCCGGGCACGCTCCGCCCGCCTTTTAGCCAGGCCCGGGCTCCAGAGTGCCCCGGCCAGCAGGGCTGCGGAGGGTTGTGGCCTGGGGGTAGGGCGCAGGGATTGTTCGCGCGGCGGAGTGGGGGGCGGCAGCAGGCGGTCCAGGCGTGGCAGGGGCCCCCGCGGGGAAAAGTCCTGGTGTAAACTCTGCAGGCGCAGCGCCGCCAGGGCGCGCAGCGTGTCATCCGGCGGGGGCGGTCGGCCGCGCAGCAGCAGAGCATGAGCCTGCAAAGGAGGCATGCTGAATCGGTGTAGGGGCCAGTGAAGACACCTCTGGGCATGGAATCTGAGGAGGTTTGGGTTTGGGGAAAGTCTCCCACAGGGTTGTCACAACAAATTGAAGATGGTCCTGAATAAGAGTTCAGGCTTTGGTCGGTTTGGAGTAGTAAAAACCAGAGATCTCACCTGCTCAAAGAGGAAAGGCAATTCGTGACCATCTGGGGATAGCCCTTCTGGGTGCAGAGGTCCGTGAAGACGAAGGCACAGTCTCCACCCGGAATCGGGCGAGTCCTCCAGTCCGGCTTCCTCTGAGGTCAAACTGCAGAAGGGAGAAAGATGCATTAAGACCAAGAAGGAGGCGCCCCCCCTGGGCTCAGGCTACTAGGAAAAGGGGCGAGACCAAGAAATGTTTGGGGCGGAGCCCTGGCGAGCATTTTAAGTGGACTACACACCACTGGCGGGTAGGAACCTGTCTGCAGATCAGGGAGCTACTGGCACGCCCAGATAAACGAGCTTAGTGGTAGACAAAGGCTAAGTAGTTTGGCTAGTACTGCGCAGGGATGGGGCTGGACATTTACTTCTCAAACCTGGTGAGCACATCGGCCACGAGGGTACCCCCAGCCAGGGCTCGCTCCTGGGCCCCTCGCTGCTCATACAAGGCGAATGCATTCCGGCTCCGAGCCAAGCCCAGCCTCCCTACCAACTCTCGAGCCACCTAAGAAGGGAGGAAGAGGAAAGTCAGATCACTCAGGCGTCTTTTTCAGAATCTGGGAAGAGCTGGTCCTACTGAGGAGAGTCTCTTTAGTTTTGTCACCACCATTCGCTAGCTTTCCAAAGCAAGAAGTCTGAGACTAGAGGCAAACTGGATGCCAGAGCCCTGTATGAGAAGCTGGCAAGGGTGCCTAGTGCGCTGGAGACCCTGGGTTCAATCACCAGTACCATGGACAAACAAACAAACAAAGCTGGGAAGGCAGGTTGCAGAAGCAGAGGCTGGAGTCTTTCTCTGGCCTCACCTCTCCCGCTGTAGTGTGGGAGTCGATGGCCACAGGACACGCTCCAGCTCCAGGACAGTGCACCGTGCACAAGAGCTCCTGCCGTCTGCTCAGCGCTGAAATCTCCGCTAGTGAAGGCACCAGCTCTCGGCCCCGAGTCCGGCCCAGAGCTTTCCTGATGAAGCGCGCATATTCTGCCAGTTCTGAGTCCGGGAGTGCCTGCTCCGTCCTGGATTAAAAGGAATCCAATGACCAGTGTTCCAAGTGCTTCTTTTCCTATGTTTAACTGTAATTTATTTTACATGGCCAAGGATGAAAATGCATAGCTCAGTAGTTTGGCTAGTACTGCTTGCTTGAGGGTCTAGGCACGATTCCCCAGCATTATATCTGGTCAATTTCCTCCTCCATAACTCATGTTTCTTGAGCGCAATCTATATGTGTCCCGGGTGTTTTCCATGGAACTGAATTATTTTCAAAGCCTCCAGCGGGCTCTTCTACAGTTGCCCTGCCCACTTCCTCCAGCTCCCTGATCTTCCCAACTACGTTACTATGCTCTCCTAGATCCTGCCTTTTTATATTTCTCCTATTCAAAGGGAGTGCCTTGTTGTAATTCACCTGGTCACAAGTGCGCTATGATCTTGTTATTCCCACGAAAGTACCGAATATGTTATTAGCACCAGGCCTGCTCTTGGGCATGTCTCTTCCCTTCTCTGGCTCTAGGCCCTCCATTTCTCTTGCATCTGTCTGTCATTCTCTCCTAGCCCTGTAACTCTTTGGCTGAGGCACCCCTTCTCACCTCTCCAAATGCCCCAGGAGGTGCCCTCGGACAGCTCCCCCAGGCCGGAAGGTGCAGCTCATACAGGTGAGCAGCTGCCAGTACCGCAGGGTTGCTGGATCTTGAGTAGCAGGGAACCCAGGGGGACCGGCAGGACCAGAGGTCTGCTTAGCCAGCTGCAGAAAAAGTTCGTCCTGGAGTGCAGGCAGGTCCCGGCAGGTCTGGAGCACACCCTGCATCAGGGGCCCGGGGCGCCGCGCCCCCTCCAGTGCCTGCAGTGCCAGGAACAGCCTCACCGCCTCCTCTCGCAAGGGTGCATAGCCTGGACCTGCAGGAGGGTGGGGGCGGAGGGATGGTTTGGAGAGGGGGACACAGAGCTGTGCCTGGGAGGAAGGCACAGATCCATAGGAAGGTCAAAGGGAGTATGAGGACACGGGATGGCATGGAAGGGAGGGTGCGAGTGACAGGAAGAGTGAAGGGAAAGCAATGGTCCACAGAGCCAAACTCTCAACCTTTGCCTCCCGTGAATCCTCCCCCACGCCCCACCCCCGCTGCTTAACCTTTCCTAGTGAAGAAGACAAAAGACTAAGGGACATAGATTTTTAACCTCTCCCCCAACTCTTTA